GGGCAGTGTTTCATTCTGCTGTGCATAAGGTCACCATGGGTCGGTACTGACTCAATGGCACCTAACAACAACAACAACAACGGGCAGTGAGTTCACGTAAAGGGGGGAGACAATTTGGAAAAGGAAGGCAATAAGTGCTTACATAACTTGAAGAATGTAATCAATGTCGCTGAATTCTACATGAAGAAGTTGTTGGATTGGTTATGTTTTGCTGTATATTCTTTCAAAAATAAGAAGATACATTAATAAAAGATTTGTTGTTTACTTGGAGCTCAATGTTTACCTAGGGGTCTTGCATCTGCCCAGGGGTTGGCCAGTCAACCCCAGCAACTTACTCACTCTGCTACTCGACCACTATCATCTGACCCTCTCGACGACCCTCCTGTTCCCCAGCCAATAAGACAACAGCATCTCTGATGAATGCAAACCCAGAGGGGCTAGACATGTGTGTGGACCAGAACTCCCCTGGCTCATGAGTTTGGAGGGCCTGGCAGGGTTTGCCAACCTCCCTAGTATTAACATTTCCATGTTTTCAGTTGAGAGTAGCCGGGGAGAGAACCCTCTGAGTCCTACCCTCCTTTGGGGTTCCCCCTTCACCTTCCCTGGGCTTGGGATCTGCAGTGCAGGAGAAACTGAGAACCTACCAACCCTTCCCAGAAAAGAGGAAGGTGCAGCTTGTGGCCTGGTTTAGGTGGGAGGGGGCCATGGACTAGGGTCTGAAAAAGAGGAACCCGGGCTAGGCAGGACCCACCTGGAGAAGGTCACTGCTGCTGCTGAAGTCCGAGAAAAGCGGATCCAGGAAAGGCAGGGGGTTTCCAGCTTGCACTCATCCCCTTTCCTGGGAAGGAACGTGCAGAGGGTGGGGTCAGCAGACAAGAGGTTAGTTACCCTGACCCTTGGAAACTGTTAACCAGGGGACCCTGGCTAAGCCAAGTCCCTAGCACTCCCAGGGTGATGCTGCTGGGACAATCCCTGGAGCCGTTCCCCAGCCCTGCGCGTGGGCTGGGAGTTAGAGGCACAGTCCACTCTGGAAACCAACATCTTCCCTACAAATGCTTGACAACCTTCACCTCAAAGCAGCTTCTTTCTGCCCTAGGTTCCGCTTCCCATGCAGACTAGGTGTCTCAGGAGACTGGGGAGGGGAAAGCTAGACAGCACGTGGCTGTATTAAGCCCTCCAGCCAGAGAGCGGTGTAGGCTATTGGCTGCAGCCAAGGGAGGCGGGTGGGGCTGTAGGCGTGGGTGGGGCTGGGGCTGGGTGGGAGGGTGTGGCCTCTGCAGGACCTTGCCGGTGGCCCAGATCTTGGAGTTAAGCATGTCTCAGAACCCTTTGTGTGTCCGTCACCCTGGTTTTGCCTGTTTCCCCGGCAACAGAGACACACAAAGGCGGTGTATCTCTTCCACGCACCACCCCTCCCCCCCACAGTGTCATTGTAAGGCAGAGGTCACAAAGGCCATTAGGGCCGAATCCCAGGAGGCATGCCCCACGCCAGCCCTGTGCAGTGCTGGCCCCAGCCGCCCGCTGGGCCGGGCCTGGGTCTCCACGTGGACTTCTGCCCTGAGACTGGATGTGGGGCCTTGCTTGCAGGGTCCTGCAGTCTCGACACCCATGTGTGTCATCTGCTTCGTGAAGGCGTTGGTGCACGTGTTCAAGATCTACCTGACTGCCAACTACACCTACAACTTCCGCGGCTGGCCAGTGGACTTCCGCTGGGATGACGTGGGCGCTGAAGGTGGGGGTGGCAGTGGGCACCGTGCATTAACATGTGCTGCAGCTGCAGCCGGTGTGTGGTTGTTGCAGAGTGCTGCTCTAGGAGAGGACACGCCGGAGCGGCCACCACGCGCCACCCGAAGCCAGGCACAGTGCCTCCTGCAGCAGCTCCGCGAGCTGCCTGGCCAGCTGGCCAGCTACGCTTTGGCCCACTCGCTGGGCCGCTGGCTGGTGTACCCTGGCTCCATGTCCTTGATGACGCGCGCGTTGCTGCCGCTGCTGCAGCAAGGTCAGGAACGCCTTGTGGAGCGCTATCAAGGCCGGCGCGCCAAGCTGGTGGCCTGCGATGGCAATGAGATCGACACTATGTTCATGGATCGCCGCCAACACCCAGGCAGCCATGGCCGCGGCCTTCGACTTGTCATCTGCTGCGAAGGCAATGCTGGCTTCTACGAGATGGGCTGTCTGTCGGCGCCGCTTGAGGCAGGCTATTCCGTGCTGGGCTGGAACCACCCAGGCTTTGGGGGCAGCACCGGCGCGCCCTTCCCGCAGCACGACGCCAACGCCATGGACGTAGTGGTCAAATACGCACTGCATCGCCTACACTTCCAGCCAGAGCACGTGGTGGTTTATGGATGGTCTATCGGTGGCTTCACAGCTACCTGGGCCACCATGACGTACCCGGAGCTGGGCGCGCTGGTGCTCGACGCCACCTTTGACGATCTGGTGCCGCTGGCGCTGAAGGTCATGCCGCACAGCTGGAAGGGGCTGGTGGTGCGCACTGTGCGCGAGCACTTCAACCTCAACGTAGCGGAGCAGCTATGCAGCTACCCTGGGCCGGTGCTGCTCCTTCGGCGCACGCAGGACAACGTAGTCAACACCTCGGGCTCCCTGCGCCCCCTGCCGCCCGGAGACGTGGAGGGCAACCGCAGCAATGAGCTGTTGCTGCGCCTCCTACAGCACCGTTACCCAGCAGTGATGGCGCGTGAGGGCCGCGCGGTCGTGACCCGCTGGCTGCGTAACGGCAGCCTGGCGCAGGAGGCCTCCTTCTACGCACGCTATCGCGTGGACGATGAGTGGTGTCTGGCGCTGCTGCGCTCCTACCGTGCGCGCTGCGAGGAGGAGCTGGAGGATGAGGAAGCCTGGGGGCCGCACGGGCTCACCTTCCCATGGCTCGTGGGTCAGGGCCTGGGCACGCGACGACGCCGTCAGCTCGCACTGTTCCTGGCTCGCAGGCACCTTAAGAACGTGGAGGCGACTCACTGCAGCCCCCTGGAGCCGCAGGATTTCGAGCTGCCCTGGGCATTGTAGCCCGGTTTCTCCGAGGCTCCGGCGTGCGCAGTCATGAGCCCCTTTCCATACCCCAGACGGTAAAACCGGCCCTGCCAGGGCAAGGAATTTCTCTCAAGGTGGTGAAGTGGGGTGGGGGTGGGACAGTACACTGAGACTCCTGTGGACCCCTCGCCTGGCGGGTCTTCCGCCCTTTTTCTTTTGTTCTTCCCTGTTCCTTTCCTGCAACCTTTCTTTCTCTTCCCCCCACAATTGCTTTTGGACGTCCCAGTTTGCGCTAGCACCTAAAGGGAATGCGAGAATTAACCTGACCCAGTTTGTGGCAATATTGTGTGATGGGTGCTTTGATAATCACAAAAAGGACAGTGGGAATAGGGGAAGTGAGGAGCGCCCTGAACCAGGTCTAGGACAGCTTGGTGTTACAGGGGCATGCCATCTCCCCCAGCTGTGTAAGGCTATTTTGCTATTTTCCAGATGGTGGTTATGTTATGTGTTTCAGAGTCAGTTCCGACTCATAGCCACCCTGTATAGGCTTTCGGAGGCTGCAAATTTTACAGGAGCAGAAAGCTTCATCTTTCTCTGGCAGAACCACTGGTAGTTTTGAACTACTGACCTTGAGGTTAGCAGCCTGACTCATAACCACTACACTCCCAGAGCCCCTTGCAGGTCTTTGTAGCTGGTGTGATGTTGCAGAACACTGGCGTCCTCTCCCCACCTCCACACTCCTGGCATCTATGGGGTGGGGGAGGAGTTCCCAGTTATACCAAGTCTTGGGGTGACAGGTATGCACACAGTAGCACTGACCACTCATTCTTGGCACAGAAACTTTTCACAGGAGAGACAAGACCTCTGCTCAGCACCGTTGTGTTTATTCTCTTTATTGTTTGCCTTGAATTGCACGGGGCAGGCACTATCACCTGTCCCCATTCTCCTAGCCCCTGGGACAGCCTGGTCAGGGCAGAGATTTTTAAAGCCCAGTGGATCAGGCATAGAATTGGCAACATTAGAGCACAGGAAAGTCTTTGGACCTTTGAGGGCAGAAAGAGGCACCTACAGGACCTGGCTGACCAGAAAACACCTACCCAGAGGAACTAGTCTGGTGAAGGGAGGGGCAGTGGGACAGGCTTTAATGAAGAACAGCCACACTTAAGCGTGAAGGGGAGAACAGTTCTTAGGAGCCAATCTTAAAGGGTCTCAATACTATTTGAGAACTTTCTTCTAGGGAAAGTAGGAACCAAAGACGGGAAGGCAGAAGGCTTGTTTTAGCAGAGCCACTGTATAGTTCTGTGTCTTTCCTTTTAAGTCAGTCTGTCCTGAAAGCCTATCAAACGGCTCTATGACCTTGGGCAAGTTAATTTCCTTATGCCTCAGATTCCTCATTTGTAAATTGAGGAGAGCACCCGGCCTGGCTCACAGGACTGATGAGTCTGGTACAAGCTGGCATAGCCGGGGAGAGCTTCCCTGCAAAATATCTGTGTTTGTGGGAATTGGATGGCCACACCGCCAGTGTCCAAGCATTGATTGACCTAGTGGAGGCGGCACTGGACTGTAAATTCAGGGATCTTCAGCAACCTGGTTTGGGTCAAAGTCTTTTTCTGTGCAACCCCTTGATGGTAAATAAATCTCCATGAGAATTCAAGACTAAAACGGGGCAGGATGGGCAAACTAGCGGACGGATGTTGACCTAAAGTGAGGAAGTCGAAACCTTGGAGAGGATCTCATGAGGTCTATGAACCCTGGAGTTGCGTGAGACTAGAGACGCTCAGGTTGGTAGTTGCTGTCAGTGGATTCTGACTCACGGAAACCCCATGTATGCATTGTAGAACAGATTCACAGGGCCAGGCCTGTCTTTCGAGGCGCCTCTAGGTAGGTTCAAACTGCCAACCTTTTGGTAAGTTAAGTGCCGTCGAGTCGGTTCCGATCCATAACGATCCTGTATAGGGTTTCCAAGAAGTAGATGGTGAGCTTGAACCGCCGACCTTGCAGTTCAACTGGCTTTGCAGTCTGATGCATTAGAGCACAGGGAAGTCCTTGGGCTTGTGACAACACAAAGAGGCACGTGCCACACCAGCTGTTAGTGGTTGGTGGTTATGTGCCGTGGAGCCGGTTCCTACTCAGAGTGACTGTAACTCTTCCAAGGCTGTAAATCTTTACGGGAGCAGAAAGCCTCATCTTTCTCCCGCGGAACAGCTGGTAGTTTCGAACTGCTGACCTTGTGTTTCGCAGCCCAATTTGTAACCAACACGCTACCAGAGCGCCTTCCAGCAGTTAGTAGTGAGCGCTTAATCGTTTGCACCACAGGCAGCAACAACTCCTTTAATGTCCCCTGGGACCTAGCCCTGGATTTTTCCTCATGCTGTCTTGGCCGATCCTCCCATTTCCCACCTTCCGGTGCTCCTGCTCCTCTGGACCGTTCTACCTGCGCGTCTTGCTGGTGGAGACGACCGAGGAGGGATTCTCTCCCAACATGGCCTAGCTTTACAGCTTAATTCACAGCTTCAGCCTATCAGAATGGAGCGGTGAGCAGCGAGTACGCCCTCATTGGACACCGGGTCGGGACAAAGGCGGGGCACTGCTAGGGCGGAAGTGAGCCGTCGCGTCTGTCAATACGTCATGCCACGGTAGCCGAGACGGTTCCGCTGGCTCGTGTGTACGCGGCGAACGATTCCCGGCGAGGCCCACCCAGGTCCTCGTGCGCTCGCTACCCCGGCCCCGACTCCTACTGAGACCCGGCCACCACCTGAACATGGACCCCGCCAGCCAAGGTACCCGCAAGGTCCTCCCCCTTCGCCGCATATGGGTCTGGTCGCCTCGAGCTCCACCCTTCCCGGGACCGTGTCTCGACTCCTTGTCCCTTCAGTCCCTGCCCGACGGTGGCCCCTTTTCAGCTCCCAGCCCCTTGTCCTCTGAGATCCCGGTGGCCTCATCTCTTTCCGGTCTCCCTTGGGGCTGCTTGGAAGACCGCCTCCCGGCGTCCTCTCCTCGTCTCCAGAGATTTCGGTTTTCTCAGGCAGTTGTCAGCCCGCACCTGGCTTGCTCCGCCACCTTGTGTACTAATGCAGAACCCTCCCTCCGGGACACTTGTGGAAGGCGCCCGGGGAGGGGAGGTGAAACCGCCCCGAGTTTCAGCGCAGCGCCCCGTGGGTGACAACGCTGCTGGGGCCCAGCCTGCTTGGGGACCGTCACATGGGGAGAAGGGCGGGTGAGTCAGGGGCACACTAGTCCTGTTCCTGGACGGGCGCCCACCCCAGCTAGAGATGGCCCCTGGGGTCTGGAGCGGGGCCCAAACCCAAATTCCCTTTCCATCCAATCGATTCCTCTGCGCCAAAGGGTTTTCAAGGCTGTAAATCTTGACGGGTCCGCACAACCGCATCTTTTTCCCTTGGAGCGACTGGTGTGTTTGAACCACTGCCCAATACTTAACGCACGGTCCCAGCAGGCGAGTAAAATGTTCTGTTCTGGAGCTCTAGAAGGGATGCTGAACTTGTGGACTGAGGCAACTACAGTCCGATCAGGATTCTCTGTGGGGCCTGCCTCAGCATGTTAAACAAGAAGATACCTGGGGCCCAATACATTCTGGAGACTTTCTACTTTTGACATCTGTGAAGTGAGTATCAAAATTCCTGGGCTCTAATAAGTTCAGGAGGCTTTTTAACAAAGAGGCAAATTCACAAGATGACTTAATGTAAACATCAAAAGGACTAGATTTTGGTCTTGAGAATTAATGGAAAACATTGTTGTAGATTATAGAAAACTTTCACTGAGTTCTCTGCTGTCAGCTACTAACCTAAACACTGGCTGTTTCAGTCCAGCCAGCAGTACCACAGAAGAAAGACCTGGCTATCTGCTTTCTTTAGGTTAGAGCTGAGAAAACCATACGGAGTGTGGTTGTACTCTGTAACTGGGGGCTGCCGTGAGTTGGGATCAACGTGATGGCAGTGTTTGTTTACATGCCAGACGCCACTCTAAGCCCATTTCTCATGTGAGCTGTTTCCGTTTTCAGGAGAGCCTTTATAGTCATCCCCCTACTTAGCAGACTCAGAGAAAGGGGACCGATCCAGCTGGAAGAACTCTTGCCCCCTGGGTGTCTGGGGCATTGTCCACACACTTAATAGGACCTGTGGCAGGATGCTTTTCTGGCCTCAGGCGCCTCCTCTGTAAATGAAAATGTGTCATCTACCCATAGATTGTGGTGTCACACAGCACGATGGTGCAGTGCTTGGGGCATGTTTACTAAGTGCCCAGTTTCTATCAGAGTGATTTCCATGGGTTCCAGTTCTAGCCTTATTGGTAGTGATTGTGTAAGGGCCTTCATTTACATTTTTAAATTGCAGGGTCAAAATGTAATGATTTCAGAGCATTGACCGAATTGTAATGGTTTAACATAGTGGATTCCGGTCCGATGAAGAAGGAAAAAGCGGACATGCTTTATTTGGTCAACATTGTGCCAAGGATGTGCACAATTCCAGCTCTATGCTAAGGAAAGGAGACATTTGAAAGTGTGATTTCTTTGGTTTTAGGGGAAACGTATTTTCCAAAGGAGCCCTGGTGGTGCTGTGGACTAGACAGTGCAAGGTCCCCATTCAAAGCTAGCAGCTCCTCCAAAAGGCACATTAAGTTACCTGCCTCCATCAGCATCTATAGCCTTGGAGACCCTAAGGAGCAGTTTTGTCTGTCCTAAGAACGACGCTGAGTCGGAATCCATTTGATGGCAGTGCCTCTGATTTTGTTTCCCACAGACTCTAGGAGTCCTGGTGTGGTGTTGTAAGATAAGCACTGAACTGCTAAACACAAGGCCAATGGTTCAAACCTACCTCAGAAACCCTACAGGGTTTCTCACTATGAGTTGGGACTGACTTGATGTCACTTAAAGAATTTACTGGGTTTCTATAGTCACCACATGTACCAGCAATTAAAGGCATTTTTGTTTTTTATTGTAATTTATTAAATCACGGGGAAATGCTGGTTGTTGGAGAAGTGCTGAACAGTTCTACTGTGCAGAGTTGGAGGGGACTGAAAGAGGCAGATTTTCCCCTGGGCAGTGTGTGGCAGAGGTGCATGCTGACAGTAGATGTGTGTTTAACGTCAGGGAGGAGTACATGCACGGATGAACGCCCAGTGGGGTGTGCCACAGGTGTGTGGAAGGAGCATAGCCCCACTGTGTGCAGAGCATGTTGGCTGGCCACCTGATGGACCCACGGCCTGGCCTTTGTTTTGCTGACTTTTCAGGGGCTGACCGACTAGCACAGGCTTCCTGTGTGTAGTTTTTTGCTTGGGCCCTGGTGTGCAGGCTGGGTGGAAAGTGAGGTTTTTTGTGTTGACAGCCATATTAAGTGGCTTCGTTCTGACCAGTGGACGCTCTGTAAGCTTGGCTGCTTGTCTGTAGTGAGGATTTCCTGACTCAGTAGGTCGTACCCCCAGGGTAGCCAGTGTTCCCGGGGCCTAGAAACAGCACTGCTGCTGGAGTTCGTGGACAGCCAGCCAGCCCATCATCTGATGACCCATCCCATCTTCTAGAACCTTCCACCATCTGCCCTTCCATCTTTATTTTCTTCCTTGGTGGAGGCTCCTACTCTGTTGACTTTTTGACAGCCTCTGACCGGCCTCTGATCTCTTTTGGTTTCTGATAGACATCAACCTGAACTCTCCTCATAAAAGCCTGCTGTCTGAGTCCATGATGGATGTCCCTGTTGATACCGGTGTAGCTGCCCGGACTCCTGCTGCCGAGGGCCTGACAGAAACTGAAGAGGAGGAGCTCAGGGCTGAGCTTGCCAAGGTTACCGTGTGGCGAGGCCCTCTGGGGTGGAGGAGGGGTTGCCCCAGGAGTGTCTCTCACCCTGCTTTGTGTTCCCCTGAGAAACCACTCTCTGCAGCTGGTGAATGTTGTGGGGGTGTCAGTGGGGACAGTGCATTGCCCACTGCCAACACCTGGGAGCTGCAGACCCTAGAGAATGTTGGCTCCTGTCTGCCCTGGACCTGAATCTTTTCTTTAAAGATACTTTTTTGGGGGTATATGATAGATTTATAAACGTGTTTACATTCATTGATCTCTAAGCAAGTGTCCCTGAGGAGAAAAATGAGAACTGAGAGCAAGAGCCTCTGGGCATAGTTTTTATCCAGCCGGGAGGGTGACTTCAAGTTCCTTTCACCTCTGACAGTGTTTACTAGTGGCTTGCTTTTAGTTCCAGAACCAGGCGTGTCAAGGGCTTGGCTCTGTCATCCCGGCGTTCTTGATCTGCTCCGGGTCCGGTCCTGGGATTGGACAGAGCAGGTCCTGCAGATGAGCCTCACCAGGACTGGGTTTCAGATCACAGGGGAAAGTTCGCAGCTGTCCTGCAGCAAGAGAGTGTGCAGGGAGCAGTGTAGGGCGTGGCATGTTATTCCAGGAGATGTTGACGGAGAACGGGAAACGACAAGATCTTTTTCAGGGTGAAATTGTGTCCCTTATAGATCTCAACTGTGTGCTATGAACAGCCAAACTCTAAAACCTGTCTCTCATCAGACATAGTGGAATGTTCTGGTTACTGGTTGTAACTGTAGGCGGAGAGGTTTGGCCTTAGGGGATAGTGGGCTTTGTCACTGCCTCAAGGCAAGAAGAGTGTTAAAGTTCCCTGTTCCCTAGAAGCTGGGGTGGGGTGGGGGGCACTTTTTCTGAAGCAATGCAACTACTCAGAATGCTCCTCTCAGAAGTCTTAATACTTGAAGACGTGAGAGAGCGCAAGGCTTTGCTTCTCAAAGATACTTTGCCATTCAGCCAAACCCGGTGAGCCAAAGAGAAGGTACTGTCTGGCTTGTGTAGCTGGCTTTTGCCGAGGGCTAGAACTGACCTGGGGACATAGCTATAAAGAGCTGCCCTGCCCCTCCCCACTGCACCTGGGCCTGAAGACCAGTGCTTTCAGCCTTTTTTTCCAGGCCCAGAGGCAGAGGGCCTGGGTCCTGGAGAAGAACTCTGGTGAACCCACTTGGCAAGTGCTGGACCAGGGTGAGCCCTGTTGCCATGGCTGGACACTGATGTGTAACCCTGAGACCACCTGGCTTGGGAGGCTGGCATTGTGCTCCAGAGGAAGTTGGGGTGCTTGAAGCAGACCAGAATTGCCTGGGTGTCTTCCATAGGGCCTGTCCTTGAGAGCAGAGATGCTCTGTGAGCAGAGTCCCGCCTTCACTGGTGCAGGTGGCTCAGGTCAGTTCCTGCCTTTTGCAGGTGGAAGAGGAGATTGTCACTTTGCGCCAGGTTCTGGCGGCCAAGGAGAGGCACTGTGGGGAGCTGAAGAGGAAGCTGGGCCTCTCTGCCTTGGATGGGCTGCGGCAGAACCTGTCCAAGAGTTGGCAAGACATGCAAGGCTCCAGCGCGTAGGTACCAGCCCCGTGGGTGGGCAGGACAGAGCCTAGGGAAGGGGGAGCAGAGGACCCAGCCAGCCAGGAGCAGCCCAGCTGCTTGGGTCCTGAGGGTCCCGCATGACGTCTGTGTCCTGCCACTCGGGTCTGCAGGAGTGCCTGCAGAACTTTTCACTGTGCCAGGTCACACAGCCTGGACCTTCACCCAGACTCAGCTCCTCTGTCTCAGCCCTAGTTCTATGGTTCCGATGAGTGTACCTAGCAAGTGGCTGTCTGGTAGATGCTCCAGCCGAGGTGGCTGTGACCCAGAGTGACTGCTCGCTGAGCATGATGGGTAGGAGTAGGTGGCTCCGGTGCCTCATCTGGGCTTTGGCACTTGGTCTGTGCCAAACAAAGACGCGGTGTGACTGACTAGTCTGTGGCTTGCTGTTTCTGCTGGTGGGCCCTTTTCTGTGTTTCTCCAGATTCCACAAGCAGTTTGAAGCCTGAGCTGAAATCGTTTTTCTAAATTATTCACCACAGACTTTCTGTTTTCAGCTACATGAAAACTTCTGAGAAACTTGGAGAGTGGAATGAAAAAGTGACCCAGTCCGACCTGTGAGTGCCTGTGGCCCATCAGCACTGCCCCTCCTCCCCCCACCCCCCACCCCGCCCACCCCACCCAGGCAGTAGGAGGGGGTCGTGCTTGAGAAAGGTAGAGTCCTGCTGCTTGCTTGCTCGTTCCTTTCTCAGACACGAGTGAGTGCGGCCACATGTTGCTTTACTCTCTTGCTGAACAGCGTTCAGAGGAACAGATGTGGCAGGTGGACAGGCTGCTGCCCTGGCAGGAAATGCCAATGAGTCGCATCCTGTGACCTCACAGAACGGCTGTGCTCTTGTTGGTGGCAACCGTTATGGCTCAGGGTTCTTGGCTAGCCTGACCCTGTTGGTGACAGTGATGTGCCTCTCTGCATGGTCTTTGGTAGTTTTTGTTTTTCATTGAGTCCTCAGAGCATCACTTGCATTTCTGGTTCCAAGTAAGGGAAGTTTGGAGGGAGCTCCGTTTGTTCTAGAAGGTGCCATACTATCGGTCACATGGACTGTTAGCAGCTGTGAATCAGAGGCTCTGGGAGGAGGGTTACATCAGAGCTGCTCCTAGGGGCTCCAGGGGTCTCGGTGGTGACAGCTTCGAGAGTCTGCCTTCATCTGACTGCACACCATCTGTGTTTGGGAGGAAGTGCTTTCCTGGTGTCCAGAGCATCTGGGCCTGGACAAATGAGAGGAGACCCAGCTTACATCTTCTTGGACCACTTAGTAGGGGAGAAACAGGCCCACGGAAGGAGCCTTTAAGTTCTCTTCTCGTAACTTTTTTCCTTGAACAAACTGTAGAATGTTAGCATGGTTCCATGTATTTGTTATTGCAAAAATTTGAGCTTGAAAACATACTGAATTTTCATTTCTGAAATGAAAAATCAAAGGTCCTTGGTTGCCATGCAACTATGTTTTTTTAAAAAATAACTATGATCATCCAGGTGTACCCAAACCTCAGTTTCTTATAGACAATCTTACCTCACCTGTTTTGTGTCACAAATGACGTCTGGGTAGGAGGAACCCTGGAAGGGGAGGTACAGGGAGCCATGTACTGCTATCACCCTGAGCAGACTTGAGACAGTCACACGGGCTGGTCACTGTCAGGTTGGTGGTGAATGGCAGGCCCCTCGACCGGCCCACAAAGACCACTGGAAGCCTCTGGAATGGAGTGTGGGGCTGTGGTGGTCTGTGATGGTCTGTGATTATGTCTGTGGCTTGGTTTGGACACTGCTCTCAGCTTGGTGGCTCGTTAGCATCCTGTCCTTGGGTTTAGTGAATCTGGTCTGAGACTCTGCCTGACGTCACACTACCAATGGGGATTGCTGGTAGTCGCAGTTCCTAAGGCCTAGATACAGCATTTGGATTCTTATTACTGACTTTGGGAAACTGAGAAGCAATCTATTCTGCAAGTGTTTGGAACTTGTTTTCTGCCCTTGCAAATCATTCCTAGATTACAAGAACAGGTTATTAACAAGGTGGGTGACAAAGATAAACTGAATAGAAGTTTCCAATCGGTCTTGCTGGCAAGGATACCATGCATTGGAAGCCTGAGCTTTCTGGGATGCAAGAAAGCACAGGATGCTCCTTTGTGTGGGGAGCAAGGTTCCAGGAACGGCTGGTAGCTACTTGTGCTCAGAGCTGGGTAGGGAGACCCCTCCAGGCTAGTAAGACCACAGGGCTGGTTGAGGGCTAGGGTTTGGAGTACAGTCAGCAGAGCTGGGACCCAGTGTGGACGTGGGACTAAGGGGAGGAAGGGCCGAGGTCTGGGAGCAGTTGGGCAAAGCAGGAGGCCAGGTGGTGGGTGGGAAGGGGCAGAGCTGAGCACCACCATCCACTCCTGCTCTGTGGCCTGCTGGTTCTGACAGTGGCGGGAAAGGCCATGACTGCGGCTGCTGCCTGGTCACAAAGGCCTTGGGGTTGGCCTGGACTAAATGGAGTGTTGTGGCCAGGGGCTTTGGAGTCTGGCTTTGTTAACGTGAGATGCTGCCACGCTCTGCTTTTTCTCTGTGGAGGCAGCTGGATGGGACAGGCACGCTTGTGTCCTTCACCGTGGCCTGTGCCCCTGGCTGGCTTGTGTCTGAGGTGTCGCCTGGGTGACTCTTTGACATTCTGTGATTCCAGGCTGACGTGGGGAGCCGTCTTCAGAGGTGCTGTGTCTTTCTGGGGTGGGGGCAGGGGACAGGGCAGGTGGAAACAGGGTCTTTACTTGGTCCCAATACCGAATGGCTCAGCCGTGAACTCTGCCCCCACAGATCCGCACATTTCCACCCACGAGCACTTCGGTCCCACCCATCCTGGTGTGTGTGTGGTGGGCTCACAGCCCTCCCTTGGGGGCATCTGCTGATAGGACCGTCCTGCCCTTGTCCCTGATCTGGAGTCAGCTTTCCAAGAAGAGTCGTTGAGGGTGGAGGGCAGGTTCCGCAGTAAGGCTCTAAGGCAGTGAGAGCAGGTTGCTGACGACACCTCTGCCTCCTCTGCCTGTCCCTGTGGGCCTCTGAGAGTGGCCCTGTGTCCATGTGATCGACCTCTTCCATCTGGTTGAGCAGACTTGTGTTTCTTTCCAGCTACAAGAAGACTCAGGAAACCATTTCCCAGGCAGGACAGAAGACGTCGGCCGCCCTGTCCACTGTGGGCTCTGCCATCAGCAGGAAACTTGGTGACATGAGGTGAGATGCCAGCTGCTCTACTTGGCCTTGTGGCCTGTCCTTTTGAGACTTCTGAGGGAGCCTGCTGAGGTGGCCCCAGTCTCAGCCCCGTGTGTCGTCTCCACCTCCTGCCCTCAGAGGGGAGAGGTGGTCATCAGTGACCTGTCTTGGTGGTGATGCTTGGGAGCAACTAGGGGCCAGGCATGCTGGAGAGGGGGCTCTCAGGCGGGCCATAGCTGCCACTGGGAAAACCCTTCACCTGGACTGCTTGGCGTTTTTTGGCCACCATTGCAGACAGAGATTGTCGGACAAACGCATGTGGCCATGCACCCAAAGCAGAGCCTTGGTGCACTCTCCCAGAGCCCTGCTTTCGAGGGTAGCTCGGGCGTGTCACTCCACGCTCTCTGACGTGGGTTGTCTGGCTGAATAGAGCAGACTCCTTGCCTGTCTCCTGCCCTGCGGATGCCGCTAATCCTCCTGACAGACACAGTGGTGAGGAGGGTGGGTGTGCCTGGAGCCTGGTGGGCACTACGCCTTGTCCCATGTGTGAATGGGAAGGCATGGGACTGAGAGGTACCAGGTGGGCACTTTGTCCCCTCCAGCTGCCTCCTGCCCACCGTTCTCCCACCTGCCTGGTTTATGCACCCCATTTCCAGGACTGGCAGATGTCTTGTGGGACCCCAGGGGTGGGGTGGGGGCTGTACCACCACATGCACCAGGCCCCGCTGTGAGGAAACTCCTCTGTGGGGGCCATTTTGGAATATTCAGGCCTGTAGGGGAGCAGAACACTTTGTGCCCCTGTTTTCCCTCTGCACCTGAGGGAACAAGCAACTGGGTGTGCCTCTGCAGGTCACCCATAGGTGCATCTCCCACCACTGCTGGCAGTTGGCCCTGGAGACCAGCCAGGTCTCCACTCAGCCTCAGCTGTGTCCTGACACGCAGACACGAGAGCAGGTGCTGAGACAGGGCGGGGGGGTTCCACAGACGCTTGCTCTGTCACCCTCAGTGGGGCCGCTGCTTTGCAGTTGGCCGGACGGTGGTGGGGTGCTGTCTGTGGACGCCTACTCTGGTCTTTGAGTGCTGGTGACTGCTGAGCCCAGGGAGGGCAGCCAGTGCCTCCACCCCCTGTCCATCACATCCTGAGAGCTCCGGAGACTCACAGTGCCACACCCCACTTAGAATGCAGTGTCTGAGTGAGCCCCAAAAGGAGCCACAGCTGTTGGCACTTCGGTGGGATTCAGTTACTTCGAGAGGCTCTCTCAGTGTTGAATTTGTCAAGTGGCGGTGGGCTAGAGCAGAGGGAATGGGACCCTCAGCGCCTCTCGAGCAGCCGGAGGGCCGTCTGGCTTGTGGGTGTTTCTGGGAAAGCCACACATGGTTCCACTTGTCTGTCGGCCCTGCCATCTCTAGCGGAGGTGGACTGAGACTGGCAGCTTTCATCACACAGCGTGCTGTGGGGGTCCGGCCCTTCCCTCCCTCCCTCCTGCCTCAGTGGTGGTCTGAGCGCTGGCCTCGTTCCTGTACACGCTCAGGGCTCCTTGTAGCTCCCGCTGTCATTCATGAGGTAGCACGGTGCTCACCGAGCTCAGGGTCCTCTCACCTGAGAGTGGCCTACAGGTCTGGGGAGGTTCGTGTGAACTCAGGGCAAGTCTTCATGGTTACAGGATTGTGGTGGGGCCCTGCAGGCCTGCTGGCGGAGGAGTGGGCACTGGGCCAGGGCATGGTTGGTTTACTCTGCGTGCATCGCTGTCCAGCCGAGGCCGTGGGCAGTCACGCCTTTGAAATCCTGCTTCCTACCTGGGAGTGGTGTTGAGTGGCACTTTGCACATGAGCTCCTAAATGCCTGATCCGTGTGTCTCTTCTATGTCAGGAACAGTGACCAGGACACACTGGTCTTCCATCTGACTGGTCACGGAAGCCCTGTCAGATGCCCTCCAGCAGTGACTAAGCCTGAAGTGTCCTCAGGAGCTCTGGGTCCTGTCAGGTGCTCATGCTCTCAGGCAGCTGGAGCTGGGCTTTCTAGAGCAGCAGCTGGACCAAACTCGCAGTGGCCAGTGCGACAGAGCTGTGTTGTGGCAGGCGGCTGGAGGCAGGCCTGTGTCCTTCAAGGGCAGCCCCCAGTCCTGATGGGGCCACACTGTTGTCCTTGGGGCTCCACCTGGGCCCCTTGCTGACATATGTTTTTCTTTCTCTTCTGCTGCTTTGGCTCAGGGCTCATCCATTCTCACACTCCTTTAGGTAAGACTGGCCAGCCTGTGACCAGGCGAGGCCTGTTCGTGGGTGGGCATGGTGACAAGGCCTCCCCTGGTCTGGGGTGTATGGCAGCACCATCACCCATGCAGAGCCCCTGGCCCCTCGGCCCTCATGCCTCATGACTTTTTGTGCTATGTGCTGATTCCCGCCCCCCCCCCACCGTGTGCACAGCGGCCAACAGCTAGTCAGTCTTCCTAACTAGTACTGGGACCCTGGGATTGAAACTCTAGCTGTGATTGGAAGTGGGTCCACTTAGTCAACCTGGTTGATTCTCTTTTGCCAAAAGGTCACTGAAGTCAAGTAAGGTGGTCTGAGGACTGCCCCCAAGCCAACCCAACCCCTGTGGCACCAGGCCTCAGTCTCAGCGGGCTGTCCTGTGTTGTGTGGTGGAGCCCTTCCACAATGCCCTACTTAGGGGCTGACCACTAGTGTCCTCAGAGCTGGGGGAGGAGAAAGCCTTGTTTTCATGGGACACTTCCTCTGGCATGGGCCCCTCCAAGACCACTCTAGTGGTGATCCTGCCATCGGCCTCACTCTGCCAAGATGGGGCTCTGCACTGGTGAGTGGTATTAACTCTTGCTTCCTTCTCTGCTTTCACCATGCTTCCGAGCAGCAGCTACTCCATCCGCCACTCTGTCAGTATGCCGGCCATGAGGTAATGTGTGCCTGTCTGCCACCCTGGCCAGTGTCTAGGGTGCCATGGGGAGAGGGGGAGACCCGCTCTCCCACCTTAGCACTTGCCACACTCCTGAATCAGGAGCACCGTTGCCTACAGCCTCCTGTTGGCAAGGGGCTTGGGGAGAGCTCTTCTAGGCTGAGGGGAAGAGCCACACTGGGCTCCCCTGAGAAATAAGGATAAAGAGCATGTTGTCCCTTTGATGGGCCAGCTCAGGGGTCCGGTGGGCCTTGGCCTAGCAGAGCCGGGGCTCCTTGGGCAAACAGAGCCACAGTTCTGGCAAGTGCTGCCATACTTGGGGACAGAGTTCCTCTTTTGATGTCACTTCCCAGGGACATGTGGTTCCTCCGCTGCTGGGTCTGACAGACCTGTGTCTGGGGGATAATGGGAGCTGCGCTCGTGAGGGTGGTTGGACATGGACCTCGACTGGCCGGCTTTCTCTGCTGTTCCAGAATTGACCTTGGTTTCCTTTTGTATTGAGAGATGTGTGGGAAGGACACAGAGGACCTTTATAACTTAAATACGGAACACCAAGAGTGAGTGTCTGGGGCCAGGGAGATGGGCCCAGCACCCTGCCTCTCATAGTCAGGGTTTGCAGGTTGTCTGTGTGTGGCCAGGTCTCCCCTATCCTAGGGGAGCCACGCAGTCGGCAGGGCCAGCCTCTGAGTGCAGGAGTGACCTCGGCGGGCTCTCTGAGGCCCCAGTTTGGTGTATGCGTGTCCACAGTGAGGTGTGAGGATACAGTGGAACCTGCCCCTGAGGCCCTTTAGACCCAGGTAGCAGCTGCTCTCCTGAACACTGATGTCTGCACCCTCTCTCCCAGGAACTCTGCCACCTTCAAGTCATTTGAAGATCGTGTCGGGACCATAAAGGTAATTGTACCGTTTTTAAAAAAAGTCTATATTTTGAAATGATTGTAGGTTCCTGTGTAGTTGTCCACGTGTCTGCTTTACCCTGTTCCCCCAGTGGTAACATCTTGACACCCCCTGTTGCCTTATCCCTCCCCCAGACTCCTCAGGGCTGCTCTCCAGCTCTGTAACTGGGTCACTGGAGCTGGTCGTCTGCAGCCTGCTGGGCTGACCGCTTCCCTGCAGTGTAACTCCAGAGGGCCTCCAGGTTGTCTGACACCTGTGTCCACGCGGCCTGTCGTCTTGCTGAGCAGTGTCCTTGCTCTAGGGGCCCTTCTGGAGAGCTGTGCACCGTGCATCCTCAGCATGGGCTCAGCTCGAGCTCAGGTGTGTCTCTTGGTCTTCTTCCCTTTGTAGTCTAAAGTCGTCGGTGGCAGAGAGAACGGCGGTGACAACCTTCCTTCTCCAACAGGAAGTGGAGACAAGCCCCTGGCGGACCCCACCCCTTACTAAACCCCAGCAGCTTTGCCTGGCCACGGATCGTGTGCAAGCAACCCCGAACCCGTCACAATTGCAACACTGCGCACCAGGAACATCCGCCAGCCCCCGTGTGAGGACATGTGCTGGGCCACACGGGTCAGCGCATTGCCGGGGACACAGGCATATTACACAAAGTTTGCAAATGCAGTAGATCACTGTGCCATCCTTCCTGGGGGTACAGGAAATGACTAGGCCAGGGAGCCTCGGCACCTCGTGAGCACATTAAAATGGTGGTGGCGTGAGAAGAGCCGAGTGTAGAGAAGTGGCCTTTCCCCCCACAGGTCCTGAAGAGTGTGGCCACCAGAGCACGCTGCCCAAGCTGCAGGTTTTATTTCAGAATGCGCAACAGGAACTGTGTCCATTTCTCTGAGATCCCCAGGAAGGAAACTCATATTAACGGCCTAATTGTTACACTAACGACCTAGCTTTAACAAAAGTAAATTCTTTATTTTTTAAACACAGTGGACTTTTCAAAAGTTAAAATGAAGCCAAGCAGCTTTAGCCTCGCAGGTTAGAGAATCTTATTTGTTTGGACTCAGCTGAAATATACGCCTTACGTTGCCTTTTGATTTATTGTTTATAATGGTTTTGTATATGATGTGGGGGCTCCCCCTGTGTGAGCACCAGCCAGGACGGGCGCAGCATCCGCCTGCCAATGTGCACACTTCACCGAGCATCCATCTGTCCATCCCAACAAACTCGCTTCTCTCTCTCTTTCCACAAGGGTGGTGCTCCCAGGCCTGGGAGAGGGGCGCGAGGACCAGAAGCCTGTGCTCTCAGCAGCCTGAACAGTACTGCTTGGCCTGGCCTGACTGGTGACCCCATGCCTACCCCTGTTCACTGCACACATTGGGTGGGCGAGAATTGGAGGCGACCTTTTCCAGGACAGGTCAGGGGTGGGCTTCTGTTCCCTTTGCTCAGGAGCTGTGCTCCGCTAGTGTACCAGTGGTGTGGCCTGGAGGGGCAGCTGTGGACCTTACTGACTCTGGGCAGGAGGCGTATTGGGCTTGCTTGGGGCTTGGGCAGTTCTCTGCTCCAAAAAAGTGTGTCCCTCCAGTTGCACTGCAGGTACTGCACCTAGTGGGGAGGACTCCCATCGGACCCTTTCGCAGGTCTATGCTGTGGTCTAGAAGTAGGCAGGTGTAGGCAGAAGACAGGTTGCCCGGCAGTCACTGGCTGATCTTTTACAACGTAAAATAAATCATGGAAATTTGTCAATAAAGCCAACCTTTGGGGAAAAGCCTCTTCGTCTGTGTGGTGTATTTCACCTTGTTGGGAGGTGGGTCAGCATGGCCCTCTGAGGCAGGACACAACTGAGGTAAAGCAAAGCAGAACACCCTGCCCATGACAGGTCCAGGTGTAGTGAAGGTCACCTGAGCGCTGTGAGCACATGACCAGGTCTCAGAGGAGGAGCCCCAGGAGTGGAGTGCAGGTGGGGTCCGGTGCAGGTTTCCCACCACTGGATGGAGTGGCCTTGGTTAAGTGTGTCTTCAAATCCTGTGCAGAGCTGTTGAGATGAAAGGCTGGGCACTGGGAGGCCACACCTGGCCTACTGCCTAGAAAGGCCCTAGGTGAAGAACCTTCTGACCCTTGACCAAGTGGTCATCTACAAGAAGAGGATCGGTCTTCATGGAGCAGCCTCATGGGAGTAACGGCATCTGGTCCCGCAACAGTCCTATACAGGAGGACTCTAGTTTCTGGAAAAGGAGCTACCCGGAGGCGAAAGCATGATGTCCCTGAAGGTCCAATGGAGCAAAAGAGCCTCAGGAGCTGCTGGGCTCAGAAGACAAACGAAGAGGGACTCAGGACACTTTCTAGCAGACCTTTTGGGAAAAACTTGGTGTTCTCTCCTGCTGTACCCAGTGACACTAGTGGAGACTCCCCAGAGTGATGAAAGAGTGCGTCTTAGTGTTTGTTTTTTAAAGAACTCCCTCCCCCCTTGTTCCCTGCCCACCATAGGCCGGGTTATCCTTCCAGTGGTTCTTCAAGAACATCTACTAATTTTCCCCACGGTACACGACGTGTTAGGGGTTCCTGCCCCACCTGCACACAGTGCTCTTGACAGCCGCTCTCGGCTGCTTGCTTCTTTCCATTCCTGCTTGTGCTCTCCAGCAAGACCCAGACACAATAGTGAGCTGGCACAAAGTGTGAAAAATGCTACAGCTGTCTGGAGACTATACATTCTAATTTTTTTTTTTTAATGAGTTCTGTGCAAGCTTTATTTTGGGAGGTGAGGGTAGGAGTAAGGAATTAGGTTTAGGACTACGGCTAGGTCTAGGCTAGGCTTTAGGGTTAGGAGTGGGGTTTGGACTAGGAGTAAGGTTTGGTGTAGTTTTAAGGTTACAGTTTGGTTTATTTTAATTTTTCTCTTGAAATCTACTTGATTTCATCTTAATTTGGAAGTTCTGTAACCACATTATTCTTTCTTTAACTTGAAGGTTTTTTGTTGCAACTGGTAGCTCTTGTTCCATAGTTTCAAAGAGCACAGCCTTCGGTATGGATTGCATCTCAATGTAAAAAAAGAAAACAAAAATCCTCACCACTGGATCAATAACATTCTTATCAATGGAGAAAAGATTGAAGTTGTCAAGGACTTCATTCTTCTTGGATCAACTATCAACACTCAGGGAAGCAGCAGTCAAGAAATCAGGCGATGTAGTGCATTAGGCAAATACGCTACACAAGACCTTCTTAAAGTGTTGATGAGCAGAGATGGGACTAAGGTGCACCTGACCCAAGCCATGGTATTTTCAATAACCTCATACGCACGTGAAAGCTGGACAGTAATAAGGAAGACCGTAGAAGAATTGATGCTTTTGAGTTATGGTGTTGGAGGAGAATATTGAAAGTGCCATGGACTGCCAAAAGAACCAACAGATCTATGTTGGAAGAAGTGCAGCCAGAGTGCTCCTTGGAGGCCAGGATGACCATACTTCAGACATATTGTCAGCAGGGACCAGTCACTGGAGAAGGATATCATGTTTGGTAAGGTGGAGGGTCAGAGAAAAAGAGGAAGAGCCCCCAATGAGATGCATTGGCCAAGTGTCAGCATCAATGGGTTCAAGCGTGGCAATTGTGAGGTTGGCCCTGGACCAGACAGTGTTTCGTTCTGTTGTGCATAGGGTCACTATGAGTTGGTACTGACTCAATGTCTCATAACAACAACAAGGTTTGCTGTACTTTGAATATTTCTGTATCAGGATTGAGTTCTGGGTGATGTCATGTATGTTAATATTAGGTTATAGCTAAGTTTTTGTCCAATAAACTCCCTTGGGTATTCATTAAATACTGTCTGGTTTTTACAAATTCTTTCCTATTTGGAAATGGTCTAATTTCACCATAATGTTTTGCTGGGTATGTGATTCTTGGTTGGCGATTTTTTTCTTTCGAGAATTTTGTGTCTATCATTTCATCGTCTTCTTGGCTGCATGGTTTCTGCTCAGAAATCAAGACCTTAGTCTTAATTCTCTTTGTAGGTTAACTTGATTTTCCCTCAAGTGCTCTCAGGATTCTTGCTTGTCTTCGGCTTTGAAAAGTTTCATTATAATACTATGCCTTGGTGATTTTCTTTGGGAGTCTACCCTGTTTGAAGTGTCTTCAACTTCTTGAATGCATCGCATCTCATCTTCCATGATGTTAGGGAATATTTCAGACAACAACTCTGACATTTTTCTGTTTTTTTTTGTTGTTTCTTCATGTTCTGGTCCAATGACACCTATGTTAGTCCTCTTGGTATGTTCCACATACACCTTGGGCTTTCCTAAATGTTGTTGTTTTTTTGTTGCTGCTTTTTTTTTCTGGTTATTCCTCTTAACAAATGAATATTGAGAGCTTTGTCTCCAATCTCACTAATTTGGCTTCAATGGTTCAGGTCTACTTCTTTGTCCTTTCAATGTATTATCTCTGTCTGAAGTCTTAGTATCAATAATCTGGCTTTCTAGTTGCTGTTTTTGTATGGCTTCCAATTTTTTCATTTATATTTGTCAGTCTGCAGTGTTTTCCTGAATTCTTCTCAAGTTTATATTTGTTTTCCTTGGTTTCATTGCCGTGCTCTCTATGATTCTCAGTCTGTTGAAGGTACTTACTACGCTTGTAAAATCCTAAACATTTCTGGTGTTTTCTGATCCCGTGTTGTTGGCCACTTATTTGAGACACTGTCTTAGTTCTTAATGTAAGCTGAAATTGTTTGTTGTCTGTGAGACATTGTAGTGTCATTGTATTTTTATATTTGATAATTGTATGAGGGTGAGTCAAAAATTATCCGTACTCCAGTTATATTAAAATGTCTGTCTGTCCACATCCATGGCTGACAACAACATTGAGCGTGCATGTGAGTGAAATGATTCTATCAAATAGACAAGTGTTGGTGGGTTATGATGCAAATCATTTGCAAATCAGCTATGGCTTTGCCTATGAAATAATTCAGGGTTTCAAAAAGCTTATGTGAAAGGCATACCGAAAAAATTCACGGAAGAGCATAAACAGAAGCGTTTGAACATCTGCAAACAAAATTTGGACTGATATTCAAAGGAAGGTAAAAGTTTCTTTTAAAACATTGTAACTGGTGACGAGACATGGATTCCTCACTATGAGCCTGAGAGTAAACGGCACAGTATGGAAGGGAAACATCCTCAGTTGCCAACCAAGAAAAATGTTCAAAAGTTAACCATCAGCTAGAAGACCGGTGCTTGCAGTTTTCTGGGATTCTCGAGGGCCAGTATTGGAACACTATCAGAAAAAAGGCTTAACTATCAACAGTGCTCATGACAGAGATGTCCACTGAAGAGCTGAAGACTAAACTTCGGATTAAATACAAAAGAGCTGCTATCCAAGGGCATTGTGATCTTGCATGACAACATACATATACACATCTCTGTCCATGCTGTGGACGCTCTGCAAAGCTTTGGTTTGAGGTGTTAAAGCATCCTCCCTTCAGTCCTGATCTTGCTCCATCTGACTTTCACCCCCTTGGG